CCATGCCTTACGCCGCCCTTGGTCATAGAAATGATGTAATTTGAATATAAATTATTTATAAATACGTATGTCAAGTTATATTTTTATTACTACGTAAAATATATTTAAGAGTTTACGACCACTGTGCTGGGTGAGACGTTGTTGAAACAAAAAAAGTTATGCATTCCATCACGTACATAAACAGTATCGTAATTCGCCAAGTGCAAATCAGCAAATTCGTAAAATTTTTGTTTATTTTGAACAATCCGGATAATGGAGGTTCTACTGTATCATTATAATGAAAATTTCAGTTTAACATAATAAAAATTCTGTTCATTACAAAATAATAGTTTCATTATAATGAAATCTATAAATGCATAAATCATTCATTATTAGTAAATGATAAATATTATGTCAAAAAGTCTGGCAACATTAATTTTAATGTCTAGTTCAACTGGCAACACAAATTTTAATCTTTTAGTTATGGTTTTGTTTTGATATTATTACTCTAAATTTTATTTCTTTAAGTTTACAAGAAAAAATGGAGAAAAACAAAAGCAGTTTTCTTTGGAAGAGGAGAATAAAATATTAGATAATGCTCAAAAAAGAATAAAAACAAAAGATGTGCCTGATGGTCTATTGGAATGCTGTGTCACAGGACTGGATTTTATCAAAAAAAACTTTAAAGAAAACACACACAAGACTTAGACTTCTTTTAACAGAAAATAACGGCTTCAAACAGAAATAACAATTAAAGAGGCAGGATTCCAACTAATTTGTACTACTATATTGTTATTTTAGTTGTTTACTCGTGATTTTTTTTTGATAATTTTTTATTATGGATTAATTTTCATTCTAATTTAATATATCCTTACATTCTGAAAATGTGAAATTTGGTTCCATATAAATACTAATAGATAAATTGCATTTTTAAAAACTTCCTTACTACAAAAGAGATTTTTTTTTTTAATCAATAAATTTCTTTATCCTTGCATTTTTGACTGTTTCAATATAATGAAATTTCAGTATAATGCATATATTTTGATGGTTTCTTCAATTTCGTTATATCAACATTTCACTGTAGTAGCTTTTCTCAATTTATAAAATATTTATGTATAAATTATTGTTGCTTTTGATTTAAGGAATAACTTTTATTCAGAGATTAAATCAATTTTGAATTAAATACTTAATTTTTTAAGTGTGTATAGTTTGTTTTTTAATATTAATTATAAACTTGAATGCTTAATAGTTTTTAAAATTAACTTATGTCTAATTGCATAGAATTTTAATAACAGGTTACTATTTCAAATTAATTTTTAAGTTTACACAAGGATTAGATTTGAACAAAACAATTTCATTACAATTAATTACTTTCAAACAATTGTACTGAGTCATAGAATAATTTTTTGTTTTTAAGCATTGTACTACTTAAGATTCATTAAATGTTTTCATTATTGGATTAGTATTAGTGTAAGCCAGTAATTGTCAGTTGCAATAACTCCTTGCTGTATGTGAAAATTCATTATTGTTAAATGACTGGTAGACAATAAAATGCATTTCAAAGTAAAAATTAAATTGCATTAATTCTCAAATCTGCTAAATCTCTAAATGATATCCATTATTATAATTGTTACTTTTTGAAAATCTTATTACATTGTAGTTTTGAAAAAGAAAATCATTTTTAAAATTAAATGGGTCTACAAATAGAGATTTTTTAGTGTTTTTTTTAAATTATTTTAATTAATTTTAATTATTTTAATTTAATTTTAATTATTTAAAATTTTAAGTGCTCCTAATCAATAATACAAATTTATTAGCATGTTATTTTTATTTACATACATTTTTGTATCAATGTACAATAAATCATAGCTCTTTTTAAATTTTATAGCGAAACTTTCTGATATCAGAATTGTTTTTGGCTATAATTAAATTAATTAAACAAGACTTAGTTTAAAAGTAAGCAATTAAACTGCTATTTTTCATAAAGATTAGCAATTAGAAATTAAATTATTTTCATTTTTTTTAATTTGTGTGCACTCATTTTTTAAAATTATACCTATTGCAGATATAGCCAGGTCTACAATGGAAGTGGCTGGGTGGTGAGGGACAGACAGTCCAACACATCTATGACAGATTACCCCAAAAATGATGTTTTTGTATTATTGATGTGCATGTTTCAAAGATTAGTTTTTAAAAAGCACTAATTTGATGAGTTAAAATGGTCAAAAATTATGTGAAAAATGATTAAAATGCCCTAATGTATACAACAATATTCAGCAATTTTAAAAGTTGTTTTAAAAGAATTGCCAATATAAAGCAGAATAGTTTCCTGTATTAGCCTACGTGAGGCTCTTTGAGATAATTTTGTATTGCTTGATCAACTTTGGAATTTATTTAGTGATTTTAATGTTTTGTCTTAAATTTTAAATTAAATGCTTAATAGATATTTTTAAAAAACGTTTTGATAGTATTTTTTTCATTGCATTCTAAATAAACATGAATTTTTAGAAATTTATTTTTATTTGATAAACATGTCTTCTCAAAGACAAGCAAACAGCATAAAGATTGCCAATTAGCTACTAGTTCAATTAGTTTGTTGTTTTGATATTAGGTTACTATTTATCAAAAGCAATTAGTGTTCATACTGATAATTAAAATATAGAACTTTTAATTTACAAATTTGTAAACTTATACTTGAAATAATTTCCAATTATGGTAATATTCTGATAAATACATGCAAGATTTATATATAAAACTTTTATTTTATAACTTATTCATATGATAAACTTTATAACATTATCTATTGTTGCAAATATTAATCACTAATTTTTATTTAAGTAATTGAAAAACAAAACTTTTATTAAAATTTATTTTTAAATACCAAAGTTTTCAATAAAGAAATTTTGATACAAATGAATTTATAATTTTGGCACTTTCAAATAGTTATTTATTGATGCACAATAATATATTAAGTACAAACATCACTAAACCCGATATATAATAAAGCTACACACCAACCGAATGCCGAAAATTGATTACGTAATTTCATTTAATAATTAGCCTTATACTAGCCCGATAGATTTTCGGCATTCGGTTGGTAATATATTAAGTTTTACATGAGTTGAATTTTAATAGAAATTTAGGGTAAAACATTTTAAATACAGGAATCCCTGATGTTTTGATCTAATCTATTCCTAAAATTGTTCATGAAAGTTAGATAATAGTTGCATGTTATAAAGAGTGTTCCATTCTCAGAGTGCTAATGAAAATTCAGGGAACTTTTCTACCTTATTTTATACTTCATAACATGTTCATTGAAAAAATATATTTAAATTGTTAAAACATTATATGAAACAAAACAAACAATTCATATTAATTTTTGAAAATAAATTTTATGACGATTATATATGAGACCTTCTTTTTAGCAAGCCCATTGTGGGTTTGGCTGGGCTTACAATGGGGCAGCTCGATGGTCAGGGGAATGGCCCAACAAATTAGGACCAACTACCTGGAAAATTCCTGGGAATTTTTTCAACTTGTTCGGATTCAATCTTGAGTCCCCAGAGTAGTAGGCTGTCACCTTTTACCACTTGGTCATCCAGTTGTCAGAATTATTTTAAAGAAAAATGTGAATTTTAATTTCCATTTGTGTTTATCATTTAAGATATATTTACATGGATCATTTCAATAAAAAGTGGGCTTTATCAAACTATTTTGTTATATTAATGATTAAAAAATACAGGGTAGTTAGTCTTTCTCTCATTACAAACATTTAGTGTACAAAATCTATGATAGGTAGAAACATGAAGTTCGTGGCCTAATTTAGACTTACAGCAAAAAAACTCTAGGAATGTTGAACAGATTGTGAACAGTTTGGACAAGCTGCAGTTGCTACTATTGAAAATGATGCCTTTACAGGAGAAAGCTCAATGTGTTTCGTGGTTTTACAAAACAGAATCATCAATAACAGTTCAGCTAAACTTCAAAAAAAAAAAAAAAAATATGGATGAGAATCCTCAGATGTGGAAAGCATTGAAGATTGATATGTAAACATTTTAAGATACTGGTACTGTTGGTAACCTGAAAAGAACTGTTAAAGTTGTTTCCTACTCATGCAAAACTGCAGTGGAAACTATGCCAATGATATTGACTATTATTATTTTTTATTTATTTATTTTTACATCATCCTGTGATGGAAAGAATGCTGCTACATTGTTAATCTTGTCTCAACTTTTCTATTGTGGTAAATATCCTGCAAGTGAAAATTTGACTAATCCCATTGCTTTGAGTTGATAATTTTTGTATGTTAACATAATATGAAGCAGCAAAGGCTTTCTAAATCTATTGATGATAGAGGTTCTTGTGCTTACAAACTGCACCAATGAATGCCTTTCTCCATTCTCAGAATTCCCTGATCCACTTGGAGAATCAGAAATGACTGCTAACCTGCCTGTATTGACACATGATTAAACTGTCAGGCCCTCCATGTTAAAGTTGATCTTGGACATCTTTTGCAACACTATACTGACTGATGCAGTTTCAGACTGTTGCCATCATATAGAATTCCTGGAAACATGTTAAATTCTACAAAGTGATGTATGGTGATATATATATCCCCATACATCACTGGATTTTGGATATATATATATATATCTCCAATCATCACTTTCAGAAAACAGTAGTAACATACTACTCAGAGGATAGTGAGCTGAAACTTCAATGTACTGTTTTCTTTTGTTTTTAAAAATTTATCATTTGTTCATTTATAGAAGGAAAATATGTTTCTGGACAGAATATAATTATCAATACAAATACTGTAGATCACTATTACTTTACAAACTCCCTCCCTTCTTCAACTGTTATGTTTTATTATGACTATCAAGAATATGAGACTATTTTAGTGTTCTACACACAACTTAAAATTCCTGGAAAATGTAGTTTTAATTATGATATTGACTTCATGAAACTGGTTACTTGCAGTTTTCCAGAAACTAGTTATCTGATGTAATAAATTATACTTTTGTGATATAAATTCACTTCTATGACTTAATTGTGAGGGGGGGTCTGATTTTGACTGGCATAATTTTTAATTCTCAAAAATATTTAACATGAATGTAACTATCATTTACAGTATACCTTAAGTTTCTACAGTATGGTTCTATAATTAAGGTTATAAGCTGAATTTGATTTTGATGAGATGTCATAGTTAAATATATTTCTAAATATTCAAGTAATTTAATTGTAAAATCTTTTCTTTTTACAGAGTTATACTGTTTTAATCAAGAGGGTCCCTGGACTTGAAAGACAGCCAGGAGTGCTTGAACGCAGATATACAGATTTTTTGCATTTGTATCAATCACTAAAAAAACATTTTCCATCTGTTTTAAATGACTTTCCATTTCCTAAGAAAGCCCTACTAGGAAATTTCACAGCAGAAGTTATTACAGAAAGAAGTGTAGCTTTTCAACATTTACTTGCTTACATTTTCTCTATTAGTGAACTACGACAGTCGATAGAAGTAGCTGAATTTTTTTATAATCGTGAACTGCAAGATGCACATAAGATGATGAAAGTGGGACAATTTGAGGATGCTTCGGTTATTTTAGAAAATGTGTATTTTGTTCAAGAAAAGTTATTGGGTGAGGATCATTTCTCGACATATTATACTCTGTGTATATTAATTGCTTGTCTTAATGCAGTAGATAATATATCAGAAGCCCAGAAATATGCTGAAATAGCCTTGCTGTACGTTTCGAAATACATCAAAAGTGATCTCACTGTTCCTCTAATGGTTCTTTCAATCAGATTGTGGTGGGCTGTTGGAAAAGACAAACGGGATCTTGAGAAGAGGGTTCAAGAGATGAAAAAGAACGGCATAAACGTAGAAAAGCAGCCTACTCTGCTTGAACTTGTGCTTCACAGAGAATGTCCTTTGGTTCAAAACTGAAGATCTTAAATCCTGTTGACTGCTTCTAGTCTCCATAATTTATTTACTTAAAATAATTTAAGTAGGAAATATTTTAAAGCCAATCTTTTAGGTAGAATAATCATATAAAAAAGTTAGCTCAAAAAGTAAAGTCTACTTTACAAATATTCTTAAAAATTTTCTATTTATACATTTCCATTATACAAGCTAAATTATATATGTATATATATATGTAAATTATAGGAAGTAAGAATTTATTTTTACACTCAAAATTAATTCCAAATGTTAATTTTAATTTATAAATTATCTTGTACAAATTTTCTTTTGTAAGTTTCTAAAACATTAATTTAAAAAATTATATATATATTGCATGCTTTATACATTTATAAATTATCTTTTGTATTGATGCATATGTACTTTCTTGGCATTAACATAAGCATGCCATGTATACTGTTCAGACATTCAGTATTGATGCTTTTGATTATTCTTTCTAATTTTGGATAGATAATCTGTGTTTGTGTTTATACATTTAGACTAAAAATGTGTGGTTTTTTTTATTTAATAATAATAATTAATTTTTTTTTGTTAGTCTGAAGTATTTTTCCCCCCCCTTCTTCCTCCTCTTGAAAATGAAGTTAAAGGTTGTCTAAGCTTAAAACTGTTTAAAATAATATACAGTAGAACCTCATTTGTTTAAGATTAACCTTTTAATATATTTAATTGAAATTAACTTTAAAAAATATCTTTTTAAGGCATTGGAAATTTGTATTGGTGCTATTTGCAATTTCTTCAGGAGTCTTTGATGGCAGTTGCTATACAGAGTATGTATGATAATTTAGAGTCTTGTAAGTACTGTATTAAATGCCATATTATTTGGAATAATCTGACTCCTTAATGACTGTCAGATTATTCTTAAACTATGTTTTTACAGCTATACTGATTCCATTTTTCAGAAACTTTCCCATTAAGTCTAACAGTAACTAAACTCTACTTAGACTAATTTATAGAACATGTGCATTTGCCAAACTTACTTGATGCTGAAATTTCTCTGAAAATGCAATTAGTGTAGTGCCAGAAACATTAGAAATAATAAAACTTTCTATTTTTATTGATTGGACATTATTCACATTTTATTTTAAATGAGTATAAATCCTGGATTAAAGAACAGAATGCCAAAATGGTAAGGATTCTGTTTCCATGAACAATATTAATTTCACATTGTTAAAACTTTTTAAGAAGTTTTGTGCTTCAAATATAAAAAATCAAAATTGCTATTTACATTGTGATTTAATTTGAACAATTCCTCTATATTAAATGGTGCTATGATTTCTTTGTAGATAAAATGTCATATTCTTAATGGCTTTTTAAATTTGGATTAAACTAACTGAATTATGACTATACTTAGAGATCAATTGAGTATTATGACAAAAGGACCAATTGTAAGGTTCAAAACAAATGTTAAGACTCTAAATCCATGTTTTAAATAAATAATTTACATTTAACTAATTATTTTAGATATTAAAGTTGTGCTTGCGTGCAGCAGAATTAACATATACATACCAAACGTCTTAAAAAATTTAAAAAAAATTTGTAAAACAATATTTTCTATTTATTTCCTTTCAATAACTGAGATTCTACTGTTTATATAAGTTATAACATCTTATATTTATGCTTAGTTAAACTTGAGAGTCAATGGAAATGTATATGCAGCTTGTGAATTTTATTTTTTACATTTAACTATTTTGTGTGGTAATATTTATGGTTGTGTTAATTGCTTAATGTCAAGAGAATACAAATTTCTAAGCAAGAAACAAAAATATTACAATTTATAATAGAGAATCTCATGTACAAATAATGTAATATTTAACTAGTGCCTGTTGTAGGACTAAGCATTTTATATACGTGACGCATAAAGCGAGGAATTTACAGAAAAAAACACTGTTTATATTCGAAAAGGAGCCGAATGTATGTATATTAAGATTATTTGTATATTTCAAAAAGTTTGATAAAGCTAACATTCAAAAGAAAACAAATTAACAAAAAATAAGCAAATATTTTATAAAATTTATAAAATATTTGTTTAAGAAAATATATGTATACATACCTAATACTTTATTTAAGTATCCAAAATATAAAGTAAAAAATTAATTAATTATAATTTATACTATTGTGCTTATTAATTTCCAATTAAAAGTAACTAAATTATTAATTTTCTTGAGATAAACATTAATTTACCATGTGTTAACATATGTATGGTTTGTTGTTCATCTTAATTTTAAAAAAATGTAATTTGAGATTAATCATTTGAAATAAGTTTGGTTTTTTGTGACATTTTCATGTATTTTTTTTCCTCTTTTTGACACATTTTTGTAATTGTTAGTTGAATTTACCGTTTTTACACTATTTGCACTAAAAAATCTGTTTTATTGTTAAGTCATAGAACAGTTTGTGATAAGTTACATGATAAAATCTTTATTACTTGTAAAAATAAAAAAATATGCACTTTTTTCAGACTAATGTAAAATTATGCAGTCATGTTTAATGTAATATTAAACAGTAGAACAATTAATTTTGGTGTTCCTAGTGTGTTTTTTAAATTTAAAAATTGCAGTTAATTTGCAGTACATTTTTTACATAAAGAAAACCATTAGCTCTTGTTAAACTATTCTATTAAATATTATGGATTATATTTTATTCCCGTAAAAAACAATCACATTTTCATATTTCTAACGGAAATAATTAATTTTATTTATATTGAATCTAGAATAATCCACCGAATCTAGAATTGATAATGCGCAGTTCGCTTAAAACATCTGCGCATCATGATTTTAGATATTATAAATTTATCTGTAAATATATCATTTAATAATAATTTATAAAATCGTATTTTGTTAAGAAATTAAATTATTCAAAGGGAAGAAATAATTGAAATTAGATTTTCTAAATTTTCTAGAATTTAGATAGTTTATTCGTCTCTTCATAGATGGCGTTATAATAAATTTGTTACGTCCTATATGAATTTTTCGTGTTGCTATAGCAACTGTTTTTTCTTAAATTATTTTTATAAAATATATTCGTATTTTTATATTTTCGATAATGTTTGAAGTTCTTTTTTACTAAAAATATCGACATTTTATTAACAAAATACTTACATATTGAAACTTAAGTGTCGCCATCTAGTTAAGGTGTTTTTTTTAATGCAATTTATTATATTTCTAAAACTGAAATTTTTTTTCAAACGATTTTGTATGAAACGTAATTCGTTTTGATGCAATAAAAATTAATTTTCTAATAGGAAATTTTTTAGTTTTATAAAATATATTTAGATTAACAACAGATGGCGCTGGCCGGGTTAATAAAACGTGACGACCGGCATCGATCAACCAGTTGAATTATTTTTCGAAATATGTACGAGACCGAGCGCATTGTTTCAATTTAAATGGATGAAAGCACGCAAACGATGTCAGCCGAGTTCTAATCTGAAATTCCAGTGGCGGTTTTCAATCTCTTTCCATCAATCGCCGTAAGTGGTTTGTAGTCGCATGGGACTCGCCACTTCGACCTGGGCTGTCACTCCGAATTTGTGAGTCACGAGTTACAGCACGGGTTACGTTTGTCAGTCATTCTAAGGAAATTCCGAGCGTCCATCGAATGTCGCTTCCTCCATAACTAAAGTTTCTTTCCGATTTCCATTCTTAAAACTCAGAAAATAATGGGTACATGAAGAAAACTCCTCATTTGCATACGACTTAGTTCCGATTTTTTCAAGATTCAACAACAACTTGCGCTTAAAATACGCGCAGAATCAAAAAATAAACTTAGTTTTCATCGCGATTAAACAATACTAAACATTCATTTAAAAAATCGCACCATTTTTAAGGCCTCGATTTTTTTTTGTCGCACTGTGATGACGTAACGCGCTCGAAGGCCCGTCGCCAATTATGGTGGTCGCTCGTCTTCTCCAGGTAAAATACGTCTTTCGCGCGATCTAAGTAGCGTAAGGGGGCTAGACACAAAAACGAATGGGGGGGAGTAGTTTCGGCACGCGGTTACTAATTATCTTACAACTGCCTGCAGTCTTAGTCGACAATATTAACGTCGCTCGTCTTTTCTCCTCGAAGTTGGCTCGTCAAGATCGACACGAAATCGAGGCTCCAGCTACTTCCGGCGACAGTGTGTCACCGGATGTGCCTCCATTAGGGAGCCGGGTTTGACTTTCTGCATGCGTAAGCCTACTTCCTGACCATTTCAGTGCTGCCACCTATTAAATTTCACCCGATGGCGTCCATTAAAGTAACGAGGATGTGGGTACGCCATTGTCGCACTTCACCTGCTAACTAGTTGTCGTTGGAGACCTTCATTAAGTCGTCCGGCTCTGGAGAGTCTCTCTCGCTCGTTCTCAATATTCTCCCATTGTTCTTACACGGAAACAACCGCGGTTTTAATTTACGGTTTCTTGAACCGCTAAAATTAATTTATCGCAATTGTCCTTAAAAACCGCTCGAGTTCTGGTTCCAGGAAAAAAAAAGAAAAATCCCTATTTGCGTTTCCGTTTTGCCGGCATTTTCTTTACGTTTTCTACCAATTACCTTTACATTCTTTGGCACAATTCTAATTTAATGCCACCTAAAGTTCTTGTATTCTTTTAAAATAAGTTCTAACAGGCGTTAATGCCGCTAAGTTGAATTTTTTTACGTTCCCTATTGCAGAAGATGCCATTTTTTAAGGCCTAACTTCTGTTTTGCGTGTGCAGGCAAAGTTAAATTACTGTAATTATGAAACTCCCAAATGAGACTTATGGCCTCAAGCTCATTAATTTCTGCTTACTTTACCACAACAACCTCATTTTATATAAGTTGTAGTCGAGTGTAGAGATTTCAATTCTGACAAAGCTTAAGAAATTAATAGTTTTACCTTTTAAAAATTATCTACAGCACGAACTGAAGCAGATTTATATGTAATTGTGAGTCTGTAAGTATGTCAGTTGTTTAGTTATAGAATATTTATAAATTTACTTACTACTTTTTATTAGTTATTAAACTTTAGAAGGCTTTTTATTGTCTGCTTAGAGTTTAATTGAAAGCACAAGTTAATGAAATCAATCGGATAGGGTAGCACTCTGCCTCCATGTTAATGCACTGTGTTAATTAGAACCTATTGTATAAAGTAATATAAGTTGTGCAAGGCCCTAGGCGAGCGTGGAGTTATCCCTTTTATAGAAGTTTAGGCCTATATAAAGTCTCCATCGTATAGTATATAAGAAATAGAAA